AGAAGGGAGATGAGCAGGATGTAGGTGAGGGTTCGGTTGTTGGCTTTAACTATTGGGGTCTCTTTGTGCTTCATAAAAATTCCAAGAACTAAAGCTGTGATCGATGAGAAAGCAATAGTCAAGATGGCTAAGATGATCCCTAAATCTAATTTGTATGACAGATAGGTTAGAACCTTGTGAATGCATCGAGTTTTGTCCTTGTTTGGGTAATGGTCTTCTGGACATTTCACACAGGCATCCATATCTGAAAAATGAAAAAGAATGGTTCAAATATTTCTATAGGTTGACATACATAATTATAGAAATTACAAATTCCAATAATCCATTTAGTGTAAAGCTTGCTGTTGATGGCTTTTTCTTCCTCTTTTTAAAAAGTGAGTCAGAAATTCTTGTTGATGTACTCCAAATAATCAAGAGATCAACTAGTAAAGTACAATCAATAGAGTAAACCACAGTAGTGGTTTTTTGAGGTGAAGCAGCCAGAACTCTACACAGTATTTCAAATACGGTCACATCAAATATTTGTATGATAACACTTTGGTATCTGCAGTTTATTGTGAAACCCTTTCCCCGTATATTCTGGAAAAGTGTAACATCTATCTGAAGCATAATAGCTGAAGAAAAGCAACTGAAGTTTAAAAGTAGCTCTGCTTGTTTAGAAGCCTGTAACATCCATTACAATTAGTATAATTATTCCTAGGGTAACTTTTTCCTAATAGAACATTGCCTCTGATAAATCTTTTGTTTTATCAGCTTTGTTATGTTAAATAAATCTTTCTTATTTGTTCAACTCCAAGAAACTAAGATTTTCCTCATACAAAATCCAAAAGATAACCTGTGGTGGTTAAAAATATATTTATAGGAGTCATATGGAGTCAGGGTTTGCCACAATCGGTGGAAGTGGTGAGATTACGCTTCATTTGTTATGATTCAGGTATATGTTACAGGTTTCTAGACTAGATGGAAAATGCTCAGCTTATTTGGAATTATTTTACTCCAGTTCCTTAAATTAAAGTAGTTGCATGTTACAGCTTAATAATTTGGTTCTTAAACAAGCTCCATACACAACTTCCTTCACAGCTAAATACTTTGGTTCTTAAACAAGGTGGTATTTTCTGTCAGTTACCCAACCTTTTAACAATCACACTCCTGAGGTACTCCAAATAGTATCACAGATCCAGGGGATCACCAGACCCCCTCTTAACTGGTTTGGGAGTCTTTTTCTAGATGATCTTTCCAATCCCAACTTGGATGGCTTTAAAAGTGAATTGGAGAAATTGATGAAGATTAGGAGTATCAATGATTACTACAGTTGGAGACAGTGTGCTTCTGAATACCAGCTGCTGGAAATGACTGGAATGAGGAGTGCTCTTGTGCTTGGGTCGTACGTCTCAAATCAAATACGGTAAATTTACAAAAGATGAATGATATCACATTACATAATTGTCTCTTACCCTTCTGGCCAGATATCATTCCTTCTGGGCATGGAGCACAGTCATAACAGCAAAATTTCTCTCCCTCCTTCTTTTTCCTACTATAGCCAGGATAGCAGTTGTCATTGCACATGGAAAGGGGCAGCACCTGAACATAATAGTATAAAACTGGGATTAGTGCTCTTCATTCATTCAGCTCTTTGATGAGACTTACGTTGGTAGAACCAGTTGGCCCAACTTCCCCTTCCATGCTTTTGCCATTAATTACTCTCCACATCAGGCTGAATGTCTCATGAGAAGCCTTCCTTTCTGAATATTTACTCATGTCCACCCTGTTGGCTCAGTGTGTGGTTTAGAACCCTACAATGTGTAAACTGAAACACAGCCAAAACTTGCCCTTCTTCACATTTTGTGAAGTTCTCCAACCAAATAATGTGCACCAAAATGCATAACTGTTAAAGTAATATAGAGTACAGAAAATGTACATAAATGTGTATATTAGTGGAAATAGCATACAAATATGCATACAAAATGTTTATACTACAAGAAATATATAGTAAAATGTATATATGAAATATTGTTAGCCTGCATAATCTAGCAGCTAAAAAGCAAAGAACAATGACAAAGTGACCCAAACTTCACTTTCTGGTATGTCTCACCTGATTAAAGCTTGGATGCCACACAATCTGGTCATCATGAATGGTTAACTCTTTGCCTGGAGGAGCCTGGGGGTCCAATTTTCCCATTTTTACTCTTACCACAGAACCATTGGGAAACATCACCCAGTTTGTGACATCAAAACCTGTAACCAATTCTCCATTTTCATCAAAGCACACATTGTCTCCAGCACTATTATTGAATATGATGCGCCTTAGAAAATGATGGACCTAGATTGAAAGAGGAAATGAATAGAGACAACACAGTCCTAAAATTATTTCAGCGAGCTTCCCAAAAACCTTATAGTTGTCATCACTGCAAGCTGATCTATGTAGGCGCCCAATCCGAGAGCAATTATATCCACAAGAAATGGACATAAAGCAAGCTAGTGTAAATTAAGCTGGTGTAAAGTTATACCAGCTTAATTTACACTAGTAGTAGCACTGCTGCTGCTACCTAAGCATGGTAGAGTGAAAGCAAGCCTTTCAAACTGTGTTTTATGCTGAATTCCCAAGTCATGTGACAGGGCTGAGTCATCATAGGATCCTGCCTATGTCCCCACTTTCTCCTTCTACCCCCGTCCTGTCCTCAGCATGCCCCACCTTTGGACTTAAAGAAGCTTCTAAGTCAGCTGAGCCCCCATGAACAAGTTGTGATGGTGTATCTTTAGCTGAGCTGTGGCTGGGGACTTGTCACTGGCTTAGCCTGATTGAGCTAGAAATCAGTTGACCTTGCTGGCAATATGCCACATGCTAAGCTGCTTATCCTAGTGGAGATTGCCCACCTAATCTGTATTTTATGATGTGACTGACAGTGTTTTTCCAAAGAAAAAGAATTCCACAAACGCCATTTTAATGGAGTTGAATTGTGCATTTATAGTTATTTTTAAGCCTCTGTCTCAAACACAAGTCTGCTTTATGGTTTTTTATATACTTTAAAAGTATTGATTTGTTATTACCTGCCATGATTGCACGTTTGGAAATGTCAGTTTGCCCCTTTCTTCCAATCCTCTGTATTTGGAGTTGGATTTGTATATGGCCTGCAAAGCATGTGCCACAGCATAGACAGCATTGTAGACATTGTAGCTGTGGCCAATCATGTCCATTTCAAACAGAATTCCAGGAAGGCTCTCTAGCTTCTCTTTGCCAGTGCAGGTTTCATTTTCATTTCCCTCCTCTGATTCATCAGACATTTTAAATAAACAGTTGAATACCTGTTTCCAGAACTCCTGGATAAAACCATCTCCTTTGGCCCCAAAAGGGCTCAGCATCTGAATGAACCTTTGGAATCCTAATGGCTGATTTGAGTGAACTGTGAGGGATATGGAACCATGAAATGTTTGTATCTCCCAATTCTTCTGTATAGACAGTGATGCAAAGTCCCAATGGGATGTAACTATCCATACTTTTCCCAGAGGTGGAAATCCTAGTATGGGTGCTACTAATAGCAACATTCTCAAAACCTGAAAGCATGGGGGTTCTCCATAAATAAAGAACACAGTTGGGTTTTCTTCAAAGACCATTGCATAGGTTCCTAAATGCTGTAAAGCAAAGTCTATCATCTCATCCACATAATTCCATTTTGGTATTCTTACTATGTAGGCATAACAGATGCCGTTCTGAGAAAGCATTGGCACCATTGTCTGTAAAAACCTGTCCCCTTTGTCATCATCCACAGCCCAAAGCCCAACCCATGTCCATCCAAAATGCTGAAGTAATCGCACAATCCCTATGTGCTGGTAGGCTTCATTTGGGACCATCTGATACAAAAATGGGAATAGCTTTTTGACACCTTTTAGTGGTAGAAATGACCCATAGGTCAGCTGAAATAAAATGCATGAGTATTGTTCAGATGGATTATAAGAGTTAGACATCATAGTTACATAATAGAAAGCGGTCCTGTAGTCCATCACATTCAACATCCTGTGAAAATTCAGATAATGCATAAGGACAAACAAAAGACAACCAATTACACCCTAAGTTACCTCCAACCTCTCTCACTACCAAGGAAATACAACAAGTGAATAGTAAGAGAACCCAGACAAGTAAAGCTGACACAACCCCCCCGCTACAAAGTAGAAGAGTAGAAGCATAACCACCCGACCCCACCCCACTCTTTTCCCTTTTTCTTCCTAATTGTTTAAATCAATTCATGAACCAAGAACTTATACATTGACCGCTAATAATGAACCATATGTTGTAGATACCTTTCCACATTTATTATGCTATTTTTGTGATATACAAATGACATGAGAAAACTTAGTATACTTATTTGTATAACATTATTCTTGTTTATAAAACCCAAAAAGGAAAAAAAGGAAAACAACAAAAGCAAATGCATAAGGACTTGAGAAGCTTGGATCATGAGCCAAACTGAGCCACTTGTCTCATGGCAGCAGATTAGGAAGGGTGCTGCCATGAACACGCTCCACTCTGTTGGAGAAAGGCCTTCCAAATTGCTTCATAGTTCCAGTTGGAACATAGTTCCACTTCCGCTCCCTGTTTCAGAACCCGTACAAGAAATGTCTGAGATGTGTGTTTGGGGACCTTGCAAACAAATGCAACTAGGAGGCTCCTGTATGGTTCTTGACCATCTTTCAGGCTTTGAGACTCAATGAAGGTGGATTTTCTCCACCCCTTTGTTTCAGCCATCGATAAACATTTTGAGGAGCAATAGCTTCAAAACAAAGCCCTGAAGCATTCCACTTAAAATACCCCCAAACTTTGATGAGAAGCTGTTGAGTGCAGTTTTCCTACAAGCTCCACATCCACCTGATTATATAACAGTCTAACCCACATTTCTCTCATTCAATAATTAAACTATCATGGTGAACACTGTCAGAGAGCTTGCTGAAACCAAGATGGTATACCACAGTTGTGAGACCTCCATGCCCTCATGCATACAGCTTACCTGCGGAGTCTTGTGGGTTGCTGAAACAATGGCCACATTTGCAGAGATTTCAGAGATGCATCCCCCAATGAGAGCTATCAGATTGTTTTGCTTGTCACATTTGAAATTCGGGACAAACCTATGTTCTGTTGAGAGCAGGCTCAGGGTGGCCTTATAGGTCATTCTTGCAGTGTAGTAGCTATTGAGGATACGAAACCCCAGAGAGATATTTGATAAGATGTTGGGATTCTCATTGATCTCTTTTACAGCAAATGCTAAGGCCAGGATGTGCTGGTAGTTCTTTGGCACTGAACTGTAAGAAGAGTAGCATCTGTTTAATAAAACAACTGCCAGAATAAAATATATCTACAGGTTTCCAAGATTGAACTGCAGTTTGTAACTGTCCAATATTATATACTGAAGTACAAAAAGAAGACACCCTCCAATGTGCTAATGAGATAAATGTGCCTACAGTTCTATGACTTTTTAAATGCTTAATAAACTTTGTCCTTCAGTTTTGGAATCCACTCTTTTCCAAGAAGAACATTGTAAAAAACCGAATCTAGGCAGGCAATATGTAAACTATGATGTGCTTCCCATATTTCTAGAGGAAAACAAAAAACAACAAAAACAGATGTAGAATGATAATCTTTGGTCAGTTGCTTAACCATGCAAAATGAACACGGACATGAGTAGTCTTCCTTGTTACTCATCTGCACATTTTCAAGTTGTAGGTGCATTTTACAACCATACATGGATATAAAAAGGAAACAACATTAGATTCAGATATACCCACCATGAATTGAAAAACTAAATGTTTCAAATGTTCTGAGATCATTTTATTGGAGTTAGCCCCTTTGCATATGAAAACAATAACAGAAACAGCAAGACCCAATCAGAAGTGTGTCCTATGCAAGCTATGGTGTGCTTCCTATTGTTTAAGAACCAATCAAAAGAATATAGATATGGATATAGATGATATAGATATAGGTACTGTGATAGTTTTTCATTAGCAGTTTAACTAAGCAAGCACAAAGACATACATTTTTATTTCACTAACTCATTTTTATCATTGAGAATCTTGGTTTCAACATGTTCTATGAAATACAAAATAAACAAATAGATGGAGTAGCTCAAGTAACTTATAATGGACCATGGATATTCTCTGAAGTTTGAAACACATTAATGCAAATGAAGAGCATCTGCCATAAGGTATACAAGATAAAATATTGCAGGTGGGAAATACAATGAAAGCCCCCCCCCCGAACCTTTGGCTGTTTCATTGTACCTGAGAATCACTAACTACCTTTCTTTAAGGAAAAAAGAAAAAGGCAATGATCATATTTATTCTGCATGTGTTTAATTTTTAATATCTGCTGGATAGTTCAGTCAGGTAGAACATGAGATTCTTAATCCCAGGGTCATGGGTTCAAGCTCACATTGGGCAGAAGATGCCTGCATTGCAGGGGGTTGGACTAGATGGCCCTCATGGTCCCTTCCAACTCTATACAGTTCTATTATTCTAAATTAAAAAGTATGAACAACAAATAGGGACAAGTTTTTGTTTGTAAATATATACCCATCTACACATAGTCCTGTGAGAGGGTCAGATTTGCTTTCTGGCTCTATCGTCTCCTGTATATCGAATCAATAAGCTTATGTTTGTCCCTGGCTGGATCTAGACACATCAAAGAAACATTTCAGTTTAAAGCATTGGAAAGTAAAACATGGAAAACAGGTAGAGAAAAATGGGACTCCATGTCACCATCTTGTGGCACAATGTTATATTGTACATACAATGCATATAAATCGCTTTTTCATTACCAGTCTAGCTGAGTCCCCTGTATAATGTGAGGGAGTCAGCTCTCCAAATTATATGTGTTAAAACAATAGGAATAAGAAAGATGTATATTTCTCTAAAATATAATAATATGAAACACAACGTTAAAAATTCCTGTCGTCTGAAAGGGCAAGCGAGGGGCAGAGATGGAGGCCAAGGATGAGAGACAACAAAATGTGGAAAGAACAACAACGTGTGTTGTCACTCTTTGTGGGAAGGAAGTGCATTCTTGAACTCTTGCAAGGAGTGCAACAAAACTATTCTTAAAAAGAATAGGACTTTTAGCAGTTTGGAAATAACTTTAAAATATGGGATGAACAAATGGCTAAAAAGAAGATAAATGCTCATTGTCAGATAACCACTCATCAAGCAAATCAGAAAAAAAATGCTCAATAAATAGATTGCACCAGTAGCAAAACAAAAATGCATGTGATCCATTCATTTCTATAAGTTATCTGGAGGAAACAAGCTAGTAGTTTATTATACCCAACAAGATAACGTAGAAGGCAATGTACACACACGTAGTGGCAATGTGCCACTTTTCTTATATCAAAAGCTCAATGAAGCACAGCATTCATTAAAGATATGTTCTGAATAATTATAATTCATATATACAATAATTCAAATTGTGTGATAAATATTGATTCCTTACATAGGTTCGTCAATCATTATCTGGGTAGGCTGCTCCATGAAAGAGAGGATGTTGTAGAGAAAGAAGACCTGAGAAACAATCTCACCAATGACAATGTCTCCTGGCTGGTAAAATTCATGGGGAATAGGTAGGGGATCATCATGTATACTGCAGTTAATAGAATGCATCTTGCATACTGTATGACACAGTAATATAAGCAGCAACATCACCACCAGCAAGATCCTGTTGGCAAAACGTCCCTTCAAAAACTGTGTTCCCATGATTCCAATTGCAGTATTCAGTCTGGCTGTTTTCAGCTTTCCTACAGCCTTCAGTGAAAGGTGGATGATATTGTTGCTACACAGATTTACAGCATGGCAGTTTAGGGAATCTGTGTGCCAGTATCCTGCTACTTTATTTCATTTTGTCTCTTGCCAGTAATTTCCCTTTAACATTGTGTCTTCTTTATCTCTTCCATTTATCCTCTAAGGATGAGTGAAGATTTTTTGTTTTTTATCTATAAACAACTTCCTACTTTTCTCTGCAGGTCAGGTGTTAGTAATTTTGTTCTGGTGAGCAAAGGCACCAAAATGTAAACTTGTGAATTCTTAGCCTATTTCCCACAGATAATGTTATGCAAATTACAGGGCATGTGTGTTATTTTATATTGGTCAATGAGCTTCAGTTTTCCACAGTAAGAATCTAGGAAGTAGAAAATAAACTGGGCCAGCAGGAGAATGTATGAGGAACAGAGATACTCACGGTATACTTCTTTTTGTTAAATATCACGGTGGAATCATCTGGTGGACACACACCCCAACATTTAAAGAGAAAGTGGTTATGCAAAAGAATACATACATACCATACATATCCCTAGATCAACTTCTGAATGACACAAGAGTTTTATAGGTTTGTTTTTTAAGAAAATAGGCTTATTGTTGATTTTTCGTATAGGCTCTGGGTGTCCATGGTGACAGAAGACAGAGAACAGTAATTATGACAATAATAGGAATGATTATAATTTCTTAAGTGTATTTTTGGCCTTTGAAGTGGCATCATTTAATACAAAGCTCCAAGGATGTCATTCCTGCCCCCCTGAATTTTGCAACTATTTTTTCTTCTGTGAGAAATATCAATTAGTCAGTGGCACTTAGCCTGATGGTTCCAGGATGCCTCTTCCCAGAATTAAAGTTATGTTCACTCACATATAATTAATATTCAGTATAATGTGAATGCCCTGGTTCAGAGTCTCACTCTGGGGCATTTGAGATTTAATTTCATCAAAATGGAAGTTACATCTTGTTCAACAAATCACTTTCCAGAATTATTTTTCTCTATTATTCTTTATTAATGATTTATAATAAAATTGAATGTGGTTTTCTATCTGGGAAGGGAGTGGTTGAACTGAACATTGTATCATTACCCATCTCCTGTTAAGATCACCTTCTCCTAAATTTTAGGCAAATAGAAGACTTCCCACTCAGCATGTTGTGGTCCTGTTAAGATGGTTCACTTTCAGAGGCTATTATATCTGAATAATTTCTAGAGAGCTTTAGTTTCCCCCCTTTCAGCTGATACAACCAACTTTTCTGTCAAAATGCTGAACAATGTATGGAATGGAATGATGACCTGGGCAGTTGACACAGTTGCTTCTGTGCTATATCCTGGAGAAGAGAGCAATGAAACAAGCTGGGAGACATTTGGAGCATATGTGGAGAAAGAATCCCAAAGAATTCATCAGAATTCAATGTGATTTCTGACTCAGTGGTAAAAGTGAATAATTTTGTTTTCTCTGCCTCTATTGCGTCGTATGTATACTATCCAATGGATTTTTTTGGGATGGTTTGGAATCTATTACATGCTGGTACAAGGTGGGAGGGGGTTGAACCTCTTGGGAGCTGGCTGTTACATATCTGTTAGGCTATAGCTTTGTGTTTGCTTCATGGTTGTTTTCCTTCTAGTCTAAGCATGAAAAGCACCCCCCCCCAAAAAAAAATCTACACAAAGTTTCAAGCAGCTTCTACAGAAGAGACACAGTATAGTGTCATCATTCTGATATATCATGACTACTCTCCTATGTTTACTTTCCCACAGTTATGTAGGGTCTTTGTTGAACTTGGGTTTCAACAGATGCCCTCAATGTACTTAGAAGGGAAATACCTTGGAATAGTTCATAGGGCATGGAAATGCATTTATGGATGTAATCAGGTTGAGGATAAAATGAACTATTTGTTGATTTGTCCAGATAAGATTTTTAATCCCCGATTCTTCACTGTTCCTCACATTGATCCTCCAAGGATTGTAATTTAAAACTTTTATGCTATAAACTTTTATGTTCTAGACGTCTTTAAACTTTACACAGTGGTACCTCGGGTTAAGAATTTAACTCGTTCTGGAGGTCTGTTCTTAACCTGAAACTGTTCTTAACCTGAAGCACCACTTTAGCAAATGGGGCCTCCTGCTGCCACTGCGCCGCCGCTACACAATTTCTGTTCTCATCCTGAAGCAAAGTTCTTAACCTGAGGTAATATTTCTGGGTTAGAGGAGTCTGTAACCTGAATCATATGTAAACTGAAGCGTATGTAACCCGAGGTACTACTGTAGATTCATATTGCATGGGTTTAGTGTAATGGCTTGCCTTTGCCCCCTGTTATTCATTGTGAAGGTATTGGGCTATATACAATAAATTGAATTTCATATGCAACTGCATATACAGCATTGCAGACATTGTAGCTATGGCTAGGCATGTTCATTTCAAGCAGAATTCCAGGAAGGCTCTCCAGCTCATCCTCCCTAGTACAGGTTTTCTCTACTTCCTTAAATAGGTTTAGGAAACAGCTGGCTGCTTGTTCCCAGAAGGCCTGAATAAAACCATGTTCTTCTGCATGGGAAGGGTTCCTCATCTGAATGAATTTCTGGAAGCCAACTTGAAGTGTGATGCATCCATCTTAGTTGAAGTTGCAAGGATTTCCTTAATATTTGCTTAATCAAGCTCAAATGCCTTAATTCTCTCTCTCTCTCTCCAAATAATTTTTATTGATTTTCTTTTCTCATACCAATTATTCAATATCTTCATTTAAGATCCTTTTTCTAGTTTTCCCCCTCCCTGTTGACTTCCCCCAACTTCCATTTCTGGTTTGTTACACCAAATGTTACATTCTGCTGTTTATACATAATGTTCTGGTATCACTAATTATATTTATGTTCTCTGTAAATAAAGTTGTAAATATTTATTTAAATCCTGTCAACAAGTCCATTTTTTTTGTTTTATTTCTGCAAGTATGTTGTAAAGGGTTCTCATTTTTTTCCAAAGTCACTATTGTACTTTTCACGCAGTTCATCCATTAATTTTGCCATTTCTGCATAGTTCATCAATTTTTCTTGCCATTGTTCTTTAGATGGTATTTCTCCAGTCTTCCAATTTTGTGGTATTAGGATTCTTCCTGCCGTAGTGACGTACATGAATAATGTCTTACTTTTCTTTGGCATAAATGCCTTAATTCTCTAAGCTACCATTTTCTCATACATGTTTCATTTGGTTTTCCTTATTAGTTGCTCCCGGTTATTCAGTTCAGGCCTCAGTACAATGATGTAGCATTTAGGGAAAAAGATGCAACCCAGTAAGCCAGCATTGGATGCTAAGATGGAGAAGATCTCCACAGCCACCATGTATTTTCCTTTGGTGCTCAAGTAGGTTGGAACAAAAGTCAGCCAAACACTGCAAAACACCAACATGCTGAAAGTGATAAATTTGGCCTCATTGAAACTGTCTGGCAACTTCCGGGCTAGGAAAGCCAAAATGAAGCTGACAATGGCCAAGGAACCCATGTAGCCTATGACACAGTAGAACATGGTAGCTGAACCCTCATTACATTCCAGTAGCATTTCTCCTGTCACTGAGTGCATGTCCATATCTGGGAATGGAGGGAAAGTACATAACCAAAGAGAACAAATGCCAGCTTGAAGAAAGGAGCCAGAG